TGGGAAAGTCTTTGGTGATTATTTGTCCCGGAGGAGGCATATGAGCATTCATCTTGTAAAGAAACGTGTTGAATGTAGGCAGTGTGGGAAAGCCTTCAGAAACCAGTCTACCCTGAAGACACACATGCGAAGTCACACGGGAGAGAAACCATACGAGTGTGATCACTGTGGGAAAGCCTTCAGCATAGGCTCTAACCTGAACGTGCACAGGAGAATCCACACTGGGGAGAAGCCCTATGAATGCCTTGTCTGTGGGAAAGCCTTCAGTGACCATTCATCCCTCAGGAGTCATGTGAAAACTCACCGGGGAGAGAAGCTCTTTGTGTCACCAGTGTGGAAGAGGCTCCAGTGAGAAAGCCTGCTCTAAAAGAAACATGAGTACTTAGACTGGAAACAAATCTTGTGGTGTGAGAAGGCAGGAAGCTTTTGCCTTACTGGGCACAAAAGAATACTTGTAGCTTGGAAAAAATCCAGTTCCTATAAAGATTATAGGGAGACAAAGTGTTCTTTAGATTTGTGAGAACTTATTCTAGAGTAGAAAGTGTACTTCTGTAGCATGGAGAAGTCTTCAGAGTACATTCTACTCTACAAACATGAGAACTTAGGGGACAGAAACGCCATCTTGGCATCTAAGGTTGAAATGAATTTAGCACCACCTCTCACCTTCTGGGCACAAGAGTTAATAAGTGCACTAGGGAGAATCTCTGTAAATCTCTGCGGTGCTGGGAAACCTTTCCCAGTCTTACACTATTCTTCACAAGAGAAATCACACTGAAGAGAAAAGTCAGTAAAAGTGAGGAATGTGGGAAAGTCGCTAACAAGGGTCAGCAAACCATGGCCAGCTCTTTTTGTGTAGCTCGCAAGCTGACGATAGTTGTTCCATTTGTAAAGAGGAAAAGTATGTGACAGAGACCATATGTGGCCAACAGAACCTAAAATCCTTGCTATCTGGCCTTTTCCAGAAAAATGCTGACCTTTGACCTACAGCAGTGGTTCTCAACTGGGGACGATTTTGTTGTCTGAGGGTTATTTGGCAATGTTGGCTGGAGACAATTTTGGTTATTTGAACTGGGGGTGCGATGGCAGGGGGGTGGCAGGCACTGCTGACATGTAGCAGGAAGACATCAGGGATGGTGCTAAATATCCCACAAAGCACAGGACCCCCCCAAAAGAAAGAATTATGTGCCCACAAATATCACCATTCTGAGGTTGGAAATAATCACCTAGTTACTCCTCAGTTTTTACACACAGTAATCTCTCCATTTTTATGAATCTTGTGACTACTTACACTAGGAGAAATTCCTTTTTAAAACTTGATATAATCAGTGGTGATCACCCCTACATGGAGGTGATTCCAGCCATCATCGCCTCACTTGCTGTGCATGTGAGAATTCTCCCTGAGAGAGAGACCTCAGTGGGATTTTCCAGTGGATATTGGATTGCCCTTACCAGTCTTCCATCATGAAAACAGACCCCGGCTCATTCATTTTTAGTCTCTATTTTTAAGGTTATGCTCCTCTAAATAACCCTTAAAAGCCTCGTCAGGAAAGGTTTGTATATAGCACTTTTACTGTACTTCATCCTCGAAACGTCTTAATTTCCTTTGGGATAACTTCCTTGACCAATGGCATATTTAGAGTTGTGTTATGTACTATGTAACGTGGGTATTTTTTAGTACCTGTTTGTTACTGGTATGTAATTCAAGTGCATTGTGATCAGAGCGTGGCGTCTCCATTGGAGGGGCCTTTGGTATTTTTGCAACCTGCTGTCCAGCTAAGAGTGGCGTATACTTCTAGTTGTTTCTCCAGTATCTACTCTCATCATCTTCTATATCAAGAGAATCCACGTTCTGTCAGATGAGTAAGGTGTGCTATTTTAGAAAATCTCTTCTAGCTCTTACAACTAGTACAGTCCACAGCCCTGGCCGTTGTCAGACAAGCAGTTGTCACTGTGTGAGCTTCAGAGAAAGCTCTTTAAAAGGGGTCATTCTTACCCGAACCCTCCTCTACATGTTCTGTTCTTTGCTTTCCACCCTACTTCTCACCTTGCAAGGAGACCCGGTACCTAGTGTCAAAAGGTTTGTCTTGTGACCATGAGGAGGCCACTGCAAAAAGGTCACATTGACCCTGGCCTCCCCTGTGGCTCCCATACCTTTCTGCACTAGCCCTGGATTTGTTACTTCCAACTTCCTCTATTACATGAGACAAAATAAAATTGATTATTGGTTTAAGCTGCTACAGATTATTTCATTGCTTCTCTATTTATTTGTTGGTGGGAGGAAGGGTCTGCATCGCACAGCTAGATGCTGTCAGGAATCCACACGCCTGGTCGTTGGCAAGTTCTGTAACTGCCACCTAAATGTGTGGGCATAGCATTTATTTTTTTATTTATTTTATTCTTTTTGAGACACAGTCTCACTCTGTCGCCCAGGCTAGAGCACAGTGGCATCATCATATTTTAGCTCACTGCAGCCTCACACTCCTGGGCTCAAGTGATCCTCCTGTCTCAACTCCCTAGTAACTGGGACTACAGGCTCACACCACCATGCCCGGTTAATTTTTCTATGTTTCATAGAGCTGGGGTCTTCTTCCTCAGGCTGCTTCAAACTCTTGGCCCCAAGCGATCCTCCCAAAGTGCTAGGATTACAGGCTTGAGCCACTGTGCCCAGCCAACTTGGGTGTCGTGGGAGATGAGGTCAGAGCTGTGTCAGGGCCTTTTTCATGGGGCATCTTGTGGGTTCACTAGAAGGCCTTTTTTTTTTTTTTTTTTGAGACAGCCTTGCTCTGGTGCCCAGGCTGGAGTGCAGTGATGTCATCATAGCTCACTGCAACCTCAAACTCCTGGGCTCAAGCAATCCTCCTGCTTTACCTCCCAGAAGCTGGACTACAGGTGCGTACCACCGCATCTGGCTAATTTTTCTATTTTTTAGTAGAGACGGACGAGGTCTCGCTCTTGCTCAGGCTGGTCTTGAACTCCTGAGCTCAAGCGATCCTCCTGCCTCAGCCTCCCAGAGTGCTAGGATTACAGGCGCAAGCCACCGTGCCCAGCCCCCAATCCTTTTGAAGCTGTGAGTATATTTGTGTTTCTTGAGAAGATTTAAAAATTGTCACCAATTTGGTTTGGGGGCGTGTTGTACTCAGAGACCTTGTCAAAGTGGACAATGAACATACTTTGCCTGCAACACTTACTAAACAAATGCTTTTATCAACTACACTAAAATGCCACCTATGTCATATTAAATTCTCATAAACACTGCAAATTAACTGATTAATCCCATTAACTCAGCATGTGTTTTCTGCTTCCAGGTTTTTGCAGGCACTGGAAATGCAACAGTACACAGAATGGGTCTTGTTTTATGGACCTTTATGTTAAACTTTTGGAGTCAGTACAAATTGGATGGGATGGAGCCATTTCAAACCTGTGCTGTGTACAGTGCATAATCATTTTTGCCACCTTCCCTTTTCAGGAAAACAAGAGTCTTTGCAAAAAATCCTCAAGAGGTGACTTATGTTTTCAGCTTCTCCTAGAATAGTGGGTTGGGAATGCTTCTTATATCACCCAAGCTTTTCTGGCTGCCAGACCAGAGCAATTCCAGTTTGTTCCATGAGACTCTGTCTCTCTTACTCTGTGTTTGGTTCTCATGTTGCAAGATTTGAAAAACGCTTGCTTAGTCATGTCAAAATTTGACTTTTGTTTTTGTTGTCGAGAGCAATTGGGTCTGCATTTAAAAAAAATTTTTTTTCTTTAAGTAAGTTCTTGAGTCCATTCGCTTTGCTCTGGTGTGGCCCCAAGATCTTAATCTTTTGCCAAGAAAACCATCCCTGCTTAGGCATCATGAGGTCCTTCATTTGTGGTTAGCCCACTGCTGCGTTTCCGAATTCAGTGTAAAAGCTGATTTTAAAACCAACTAGTTGCCTTGAGAATCTGAATCACACAATTTGCTTCCCAGAGACAGAAGTTCCAGCCTTGGGCTTTGATGATCATTTTATGTATGTATGTTAAGCCTAGAGATGTACTGACAATTATTTCGACCTAATGTTCATGATAATTTTTCGATAGTTGTTTCTCTATCTCTTGTAAGAAGATGGTAGACTATATGAGCTCTTTCCATAGATTTGCTAGGCTTCCCACCTTCACTGGAAGGTAGTCATTCACTTTCTTTCTTTTTTTTTTTTTTTTGAGACAGAGTCTTGCTTTGTTGCCCAGGCTAGAGTGAGTGCCATGCATCAGCCTAGCTCACAGCAACCTCAATCTCCTGGGCTCAAGCAATCCTGCTGCCTCAGCCTCCCATGTAGCTGGGACTACAGGCATGCGCCACTATGCCCAGCTAATGTTTTCTATATATATTAGTTGGCCAATTAATTTCTTTGTATTTTAATAGTAGAGATGGGGTCTCGCTCTTGTGCAGGCTGGATTCGAACTCCTGACCTTGAGCAATCCGCCCACCTTGGCCTCTCAAAGTGCTAGGATTACAGGCGTGAGCCACCGGGCCTGGCCAGTCATTCACTTTCTGCAGAAGAGACAGGTGCAAAGAGTCACCTTACTAGATGGACTGGACAACTCAAGTGCTTATTCTGACAGCCCTCGCTCACTCTGCACCAACTATCAGAGCCATGAGGCTCAGAGTGCATGGCTCACTGTTTTCCCTTGGCTTCCTGGAAATCCCTGAACCCTTCCTTTCCCTGTGTGGTGTTTCCACACAAGTGGTTGGGTGTATGTGATGGGTGCAGCTGCATCTCCCAGGGTGAAAGTGCTAAATGCTCAGGGAGCCTTGCTTGGTCAAAAGTTTCCTTGGGCTGGCGTGACGGCTCCCACCTGTGCTCTGGGGAGGGCAGGATCGTTGAGCTCAGGCCTTCCAGCGTCGAGCAAGACCCATCTCTCCTAAATAGAAAAAATAAGCCAGGCATGGTGGTGCGCTGCTGTAGTCCTAGCTACTGGGGAGGCTGAGGCAGGAGGATCGCTTGAGCCCAGGAGTCTGAGGTTGTAGTGAGCTATGATGATGCCACTGCACTCTACCCCAGATGGCAGAGTGAGACTCTGTCTTAAAAAAAAAAGTTTTCCTGGGCTTATTAGTGAAGAAGTAACAATCACTGGCTCTTGTTTAGGTTTGGGAAAAAGAATATGCACCCCAGAGGCCTGGCCTAAGGACGAGGAGAGAGTGAAATGGGGCCATTTCTTTAATGAGGAGCGGTGGGAATCGGGCACCACTGCTCCCTTCGTCCCCAATTCCTCCGCCAACAGCAGTAATGACGGGAGAGGAAAATAATGAATCCCAAGGATAACCTTAGTGGCTCAGGGCTGTCGCATCCCATTGCACTTCGCCGCCAATTCTTTGGATAGCCAAGTATCTCACAGGTGTCTCTGGAGGGGACTTCTGATTACACCAACACAGTCTTCCCCAGCAGGGCCCCTCTCTGTGTTGTGTGACATTTGGGCAAGCTTCCATCCGCTCAGGAATTTTTCCCCTCTGGGAAACCTACTGTATACACCCAATGAGTATCGGTTAAGTGCCTCACACTTAGGTTTGGGGAAGAAAGACTGATAGTTGATGGTATTGCCCTTAAGAGAGCGCAGGTTGGGAGGTCAAGGAGGGCCACTGGGAGGGTAACAGAGGGGGTGGTGCGAGCAGAGTGTGGAAGGCTTGCTAAGTGTTCACGAGCAGACTTCCGTAAGCACGCCGATCTCTATTGCATAGGCACAAAAGATAGGGCAATATATCACGTTCTCGAGATACAAGAGGATCTTTGAAGTAGGAGGCAAAGCTTAAGTGTAATATGGGACATTGTATAACACACACAGCAGTATGTTAGTATCGGCCTCAATTTCAGTATTAATTGGAAATTGATGGGAGTCCATTGACATTTGATACGGTTTGCAATTGAGCCGGGAAACTGGTACCATGTATGAGGAGTGGGATGAAGGAGGCCTATTTCCAGTAGGTTTTGTTGCGTGACCACCCAAAACAGTGGTTTAAAACAACCACGGTGGTTTTACAGTTTGTGGGTTGACCATCTGGGCTGTGCTCAGCCCCAGGAGTGAGCGCTCTTCCTGTCTGGCTTCCGCAGCCGGTTGCTGGGCGGTGTGTGTGTGTGTGTGTATGTATGTGTGTGTGTGTGTGTGTGTGGTGGGGGGGGTGGAGTGTCGCTCGTTCTTCACTCAAGGTCTCCTCCCCCAGCTAGGCAGGGCACTCACAGGTCGCTGGGGGAATCCAGAGGGGCGCAAGCTCACTGCACAAGCAAGGGAATGCTTGGCTCGTGTCTGTTCTGCCTACACCCCGTGGGCCATTGTAGCCACGTGGGTGAGCCCAGAGCAGAAGGGCAGAGTTACACAGTAGGGGCCTGGGTACAAGGAGAGGAAGACATCACAGCCTTTCTGTTTTGCAGTTGGCCACAAGGCGAGCATGTTTCCATTGCACGTGTCTAAGTGAGAGGAATTGCTTTATTGAGATGTAGGAAATTCGCCTATTTAAAGGATATAATCTGACACATGTTGGCCTACGTGCACCCCCATGAAACCATCAGCACAATCAAAATAGTGAACCCCCAAAAGTTCTCTCATGTGCCCCTGTGATTCCTCCCGGTCCTTCCCCAGGTGAGCAATGACCTGCCTTTGAGTGGGGGCGGATCCAGCTGCTCCCAGTGGCTTTATTCCATTACTGAAGAGCTTGAACCATGGTTTTCCATGAAGGATCAGGGCCCAACCTCCGTGATGTCACTGAGAGAGCAATTCCTCTGCCAAAAAGTCTCCTCAGAGCCCCTTTGATGTCCCTGTTCCTCAGGCTGTAGATGAAGGGGTTCAGCATGGGGGTGACCACGGTGTACATCACCGAGGCCATCGCACCCCTTCTGGAGGGCTGGGCTGTTCCAGAAGTTAGGTAGACCCCCAGGCCCGTACCGTAGAACAAGGAGACGACGGAGAGGTGAGACCCACAGGCGGAAAAGGCTTTGTACTTCCCTCCAGCAGAGGAAATGCACATTATGGAGGAGATAATTCTAGAATAAGAAAAAAGGATCCCAGTCAGGGGAATAGCACCGAGCAGAGCAGACAGAAAATACAGCAGGATGTCATTAACAAGGGGGTCAGAGCAGGCGAGCTTGAGTATATAAGCAAGTTCACAGAAGTAGTGGGGGATTTCTGCTTCTTCGCAGAAGGACAGCCTCAAAACCATCAAACTTTGCAGCAGAGAATGCGTCAGGCAGATTATCCAAGAAAGCAAGAGCAGAAGACCACAGAGGCGGGGGTTCATGATGACCGTGTAGCGCAGGGGGTGACAGATGGCCACAAACCGGTCATAGGCCATCACGGTCAGTAGCAAACTATCTAGTCCACCAAAAAGCAAGAAAAAACACATCTGCGCGAGGCAGCCTTTGTATGTGATGGCTTTGCTGTGTGTCTGGATGTTCACTAACATCTTGGGGACGGAGGTGGAGGTGAAGCAGATGTCAGCAAAGGACAGGTTGGAGAGGAAGAAGTACATAGGGGTGTGCAGGTGGGCGTCGGAGATGACGGCCAGGATGATGAGCAGGTTCCCGAGCACCGTGACCAGGTACATGGACAGGAACAGCCCAAGGAGGACGGGCTGCAGGTCCCTATCTTCTGAAAGTCCCAGAAGGAGGAATTTTGGAATAGCTGTTTGGTTCCCTGGTTCCATATAACTTATGGAAATTGCCTGGAAAGAGAGGCAAAATGTAACGTCCAAACAATGATAAAACAGGAATGTGCCACACGCTTTCAACTCATTCACTCATGAAGTCTTATATTTTATTATCTAAGTGGTTTGCTTTCTTTAAGCTGACCAAGGTTTCTTCAATGCTACCGTCCCTCCCTTGCTTCTATCGCTACTCCCCGGAATGCCTTGTCTTTAAAATGAGTGTTCCACCTCTCGTCAGTTTTTTTTAACTAACTTACATTTCTGCTTTCTCTGCTCTGATTAGTCCCTGAGATGTGGAAGAATAGGGATGGGAGGGGAAGAGGTCAGTGGGAAAAGCTCAACAACAGCAAGGAGCACTGTCTCCTGACAGCTCTGAAACCAAAAGCGTCAGGTAGTTCTGAATGTCCGGTTGGGATAAAATTAAACAAGCAAGCAAGAAAACTGGCTGAAACCCCACAGATGTTGTGGGTTTGATTTCAGACAAATGCAATAAGGCAAATATTGTAATAAAGTGGGGCACACAAAGTTTTGGTGTCCCGGTGCATATAAGTCATGTTTACACTATACTGTAGTCTGTTAAGTGTGCAATACCATTATGTCCAAAAAAATGTGCATACCTTAATTAAAAAATATTTCGTTGCTAAACCATGCTAATGAAAAAAAAAAATGAACACACCACACCATGCAGGGGTCTACTTTGCATAGTCTTTTTTTTTTTTTTTTTGAGACAGTCTCACTTTGTTGCCAGGCTAGAGTGCCTGGCGTCAGCCTAGCTCACAGCAACCTCCAACTCCTGGGCTCAAGCGATCCTCCTGCTCAGCCTCCGAGTACCTGGACCTACAGGCTCGCACCAGCCTGTGGAAGGCTGAGTCGGGAGGATCACTTGAGGTTAGGAGTTCAAGACCAGCCTAAGCAGGAGCGAGACCCCATCTCTACAAAATATAGAAAAAATTAACCAGGCGTGGTGGTGTGCACCTGTAGTCTCAGCTTCTTGGGAGGCTGAGGCAGGAAGATCGCTTGACCCCAGGAGTTTGAGGTTGCTGTGAGCTAGGCTGACACCAGCACTCCAGCCTGGGCACCAGAGTGAGACTATTCTCAAATAAAAAAAAAGAATGTGATCTTAAGCTTTTGGAATATCAAGTAGTCAAGCTTAAGGAATACTCTATGACTCAGTCAAATCCAAGAAAGTTTGTAGCAAAAGATCATTAATGTGGCCAGGCAGTGGCTCATGCCTGTAATCCTAGCACCCTGGGAGGCTGAGGCAGGAGGATCGCTTGAGCTCAGGAGTTTGAGTTGCTGTGAGCATTGTGATGCCATTGAACTCTAGCCCTGGTGACAGAGTGAGACTCTGTCTCAAAAAAACAAAATGTCATCAAGCAATGCATGACTGCACTTCTTCATGTGCCCGTTCCTAGCTTAGTGTCAGGCAGAAGGAGGTGCTGTGTAGATGGTGGAAATGTCCCTCTAGAAAAAAGAAAAGTGTGGTGGGTGGGGGGAGATCTTTAAGGGGGGTAGGTTATAAGGAGGAAGTCCAGAAACTGAGAGGCAGAGTTGCAGCCGGGTCCCTTGAAATTGTTCTTTCCTGGTATCTTTTTTTTTTTTTTTTGAGACAGATCTCACTTTTTGCCCAGGCTAGAGTGAGTGCCATGGTGTCAGCCTGGCTCACAGCACCCCTCAAACTCCTGGGCTCAAGAGATCCTCCTGCCTCAGCCTCCGAGTAGCTGGGACTACAGGCATGCGCCACCATGTCTGGCTAATTTTTTCTATATATATTAGTTGGCCAATTAATTTCTTTCTATTTATAGTAGAGATGGGGTCTCGCTCTTGTTCAGGCTGGTTTCGAACTCCTGACTCCGAGCAATCCGCTCGCCTCGGCCTCCCAGAGTGCTAGGATTACAGGCGTGAGCCACCGCGCCCGGCCTCTTTCCTGGCATCTTTATGCTGAAAATGATAACGTTAGACTCGGCCCTTGGTTGTTGCTCCAGTTAACTGTTTCCTTCCTTCTCTACACTCCTTGTTCTTGGAGGAATTACTAACTGTGGGTGCACTCTTTCTTTGCCAAGCAGGAGGAGAGAACTCCAGGGACAGAGGAGCATCTATGAGTTGTTTGTTTTGCAGAAGGAATGACGGCCCCTGAAAAAGTTGTGCCTAGTAAGAATGGTTCTTCAAGGTGTTATCTGAGACTGAAAACACCACAGACTTCCTCCTACTCCATCCCCAGCTGCTCATTAAACTCACTGCCTCATCTTTGGGAGAAGGCTGATCTGAGAGCTGTTCTCTCCTGTCTTGTCACTTTGGCCAAAATGAATAATAAACCTTTCTCTGTCTCCAAGCACCAGGGTCGCAGTGTCGGGCTTTAGCTGCACGACGGGTACACAAGCCTGAATTTGGGGTTCTGCAACACAGTAAAAGGAGAGCAGACCTGGAGACAGAGATAAGAATATAAAGTGTGTGTTCTCTTCAAGCCCCCTCCAGAGTAGACTTTCTCCTTATCCCTGATTCTGCATCGGCAAAGCCCGGCCCACGTGTAAAAGTACATCCCATCCCTTCTTACCTCTTTGCCACGGCACTTTTTTTTTTTTTGAGATGGGGTCTTGCTATGTTGTCCAGGCTAGTCTCAAACTCCTGGGCTAAAGCAATCCTCCGAACTCACCCTCTCGCATAGCTGGGATTGCCACGGGACTTTCTGAGTGAAGATAGAGCATCCCAGTTCTGCAGTTTGGGCTCACTTTTCTTTGCTTCTTCCAGTGGAGGGCTAATAAGACAGCACCATGCACCCGGAGAGGCAGAGACAAAGAGCTAAGCAGGGAGCCCAGGACCAGCCTGACACCTGGGGGTGGCCCAGGGGCATTTCCTCCTGACCTGGGATAGGTGAGCTGGAGGCAAAAGGGCACAGGTGTATTATCTGGGGGCTGAACCCCTTTGCTGGTCATTAAATAAATTGCTGTTTTGACTATGTGTTTCTGGAGATTTCCCCTCTTGGGGGTCAGGGGAGTGATCTGTTCTCCTGTGTTTATCCACTCCGAACAGAACTAGAGCAACATGAATGATCTGCCCCTGCTCAACTTCTCCAACCCCCACTGGGTCTTTTTATCTTGCTAAAGCAATTCTTCCCTTGAGTGTGGCCTCCAGTATACTCAGCTTCCTTTTAGGAAAATCTTACTACATCTCCAGTCTCTTGGCAAGCCTAAGAATTAAGAAACGCTTTTGAGTGCCAAGCTGTGGTGGGTCACGCTTGTAGTCCCAGCTTCTTGGGAGGCTTAGGTGGGAGGATCACTTGAGGCCAAGAGTTTGAGACCAGCCTGGGAAGTATAGGAAAACCCCATCTCTAGGGAAAAAAAGTGAAAAAATGAACCAGACATGGTGGCACATGCCCCTGTGGTCTTAGCTACTCAGGAGACTGAGGCAGGAGAATCATTTGAGGTCAGGAGTTGGAGACCAGCCTGGACAACATAGCAAGAACCCATCACTACAAAATATATGAAAAAAAATTAACCGGACATGGTGGCTCATGTGTCCATGGTCTTAGCTACTGTGGAGCTGAGGCGGGAGGGTCACTTGAGCCCAGGAGTTCCAGGTTACAGCGAGCTATGATTGTGCCACTGCACTCCAGCCTGGGAAGCAGAGCAAGATCCTGTCTCTAATAAAACAAAACAAAAGAGAAACACCTTTGGTCAAGTTTTCCTCAGTGTCCAGAGCCTTCTCTGAGGTTCCCATGGATGCCTGTGGCCCATAATTTGGAACAAGAATCAAAGTAGCGCAAGGAGGGTTAGAGAGATAGGGCAACTTGCCACAGGGCCACCAAAGTAACAGAGCAAAGAGCTTGGCCCCACTTGAGCTTAAAAAGGGGTGTAGGTTGTGAACTGAAACAAAATTCTAAGTCGTATATTTGGGTTGTGATTTTTCTTGTCCATTCAGCCAGTCTATGTCATTTAAGTGGGACATTTAGATGGTTCAGGTTCAGTGTCAGTATTGATATGTGATGTTTTGTTCATGATGTTGGATGACACCTTGTTGTTTTGTTTTGTCTATTGTGTTTTTTTTTTATAAGAGCTGTGAGCTTTATCTTTTGGGTGTTTTTACACTGGTGGGTTCCTATTGTGCTGTTCCATGTGTAATGCAGTTCTCAGTATTTTCCTGTAGGGCAGGTCCGGTACAGACAAATTCTCTTAGTGTTTGCTTGTCTGGAAAAGTCTTTATTTCTCCGTCGTTTATGAATCTTAGTTTTTCAGGGTATAAAATTCTTGCATGGCAGTTGTTCTGTTTAAGAAGAGTAAAAGATGGAGCCCTAACCCCTTCTGGCTTGTAAAATCTGCACTGAGAAATCTGCTGTTAGCCTGATGGGCTTTCCTTTGTAGGTTAGTTATTGCTTTCAACTTGCAGCTTGTAGAATTGTCTCCTTCACTTTTTATTTCAAAATGTTAAGAAGGTACAAATGTTTTTGTTACATGGATAGCTTTTATAAAGCTTGAGTCAGAGCTATTAGCATGCCCATCACCCGAATAGTGTTCATTTTCCCCATTAGGTAGGTTTTTGTCCCCTCTTCTTGATTTCCAATGACGTTTACTTCTCTCTGTGCCCATGTGTGCCCATCACTTAGTTCCAACTTACTGCATTTTGACTTTGGCAGGTCGATCACTATGTTTCTTAGAGATGTCCTCGTTGCTCTGAATCTTCCCAGTGTTTGATGCCCATCTTGTATCTGGGTATCTGAATCTCTGGTGACACCAGGGAAGTGTTCCTCAATAATTCCCTTGAATAGTTTTTTTCATGTTTTCTGTGTTTTCTTCTTCTCTCTCAGGGATACCTATAATCCATACATTAGTTCGCTTCGCTTAGTCCAATAGTTCTCTGAGTGCTTGTTCGTTCTTCTTTATTCTTTTTCCTGCATCTTTGACTGGCTGGGTTATCTTGAGAGCCTGGTCTTTGAGCTCTGAGATTCTTTCTTCTACTTGGTCTAGCCTGTTGTTGAAGCTTTCTGCTGTATTTTGAAATTCCCTAAATGACTCTTTCATTTCTTTAAGTTCTGATATATTCTCTCTTAGTTGTCTACCTCTTTAATGACTTTTTCTCCCTCCCTCCCTCGCTTCCTTCCTTCCTTCCTTCCTTCCTTCCTTCCTTCCTTCCTTCCTTCCTTCCTTCCTTCCTTCCTTCCACTGACATCCTGAAAAAATTTTTTTTTGCTTCTTTGTGTTGGTTTTCAACTATCTCTTCAATCTCATTTATCATATTTTCCATCCATATTCTGAATTTTGTTTCTAGCATTTTGACAATTTCCTTTTGGTTGGGGTCTTTTGCTGTAGATCCATCATGATCCTTTGGGGGTGTCTAACTAGCTTGTTTTTTCATGTTGCCAGAGTTCTTTTGCTGGTTTATTCTTATCTGAATCCTCTTCTTTTAGCTCAGGGCTGATATGTTTGCAGGGAACCTCTTCTCCTTTGATGGGAACTCTCCTACTCAGTGAGAAGAAGAAGAGGTTCCTAGATGGTGCTTTTGTTACCTACTCTGGAAGGGTAACCTGGCAGAAGAGGGG